GGTGTCTGGGGCCCCAAGACTAGGAATGGCGCAGGGCTCAAACTAGGAGTATAGAACGGCGAGGGCGGGGGGATGGAAGGGTGAATGTGGCTTAGGGAGTCCCGGCGCGGAGAGCTGCACTATAGACTTACCCCAAGAGGCCTGAGGATAGTAGTGCCTACAATGCAATTTTTTAAAAAACAAAAATAAGGACATTCCCCCTAGTAAGAAGTAACTGACTAGGAGTCAAACCAATTTTTTGTTTTCCTTTTATTCTAAACATCAAATAGTCTTGAATCATGCTTTCTCCGTTCTTGATTATAATTAGCACTTGATGAAACAATTAGTAAAAATGCACCTTTAGTTTAAAGAAACAAATAAAAAAAATCCCTGAAAACCATGAAATCCAACAAGGTGCAAGGGTCGAGGTGTGTCATCAAAAACCAATGGCACTTCAATATCAAATAATTTCTAAGGCTAATATGGCCTTCTACCATTTTTCACTTAAAACTTACAGGAAATGTATAACATGGTCAAGAGCAATTTTGTTCCCTCCTATTTAGAATAGCCAGCCATCAGGAAAATTAGGCTTGCTGGGTGAATAACTGGGAGAACATTTTAAAGTTCCCACTAACTTTGAAGAAGGCAGAGACAAGACAGAAATACAGACCAACAATGATGAGCTATTAAAAATCTTCACCACCACCAAGAAGACTTGGATAAAAATCTGAGTAGCTTTAAAAACCTAGGGGGGGGGCGGTTATTTTTTTTTTCTTCCTAGGGTCTTCAATTTACCACAAAATGCTGGTCTATTTAATTTGTTCCAACCACAGTCCTACACTGGGCTGAACTCTCTGAATAGTCCAAGAAAGGTGTTTCCCAGTGGCAGCTACCTTGGCTTTGGGGTGCATGTGTGTCTACAGACATGGCGGTGACCCACAGAGGCTCGTGGGGGATCCCCCTTTGATGTTGGTATGCCCCAGTCTGTGGTTGCACCTCAGCCAGCAGAGGTTGTAGAGACTGACTTAGTCTCATTTTCCATGATTCTTTCTAGGGCTGTGCATAGTTTTTCTGACATTTTAGTTACTTTCCCATGTAAAATTTTGATGTGGCCTTCTTAAGTAATTTTTTTAAACAGGAAAGAACTTCCAAAGAAAATGTCAGAAGCGAAAAAAAATGTCAGAAGTGAAAAATAAAACTGTTTATTTTTAAAAAGGGCGTGCCAAGGGGCATGTGATACTGATAGAGAACTTCCCTCTTAAGAGCTAGTTTAGCCGTGCATGGTGATCCATACCTATTATCACAGCACTTGGGATGTTGAAGCAGGAGGATTGCTATGAGTTTAGGCTAGCCTGAGCTAAACAGTGAGACACTCTCTCAAAAAAAAGGAGCTGGATTTTCTTTGTTTTTTTGTTATTTTTGTTTTGACAGTACTGGGGACTGAACACGGGCCTTGCACATTCTAGGTAAGCCCTCTACTGAGCTGTATCCCCAATCCTTAAAAAAAGACCTATTTTAAATGGGTTCCAGAGGGAATTACTCCCTTATAAGCCTCCAATCTAAACATCAGTCTTAATATTTCCCCGAGAAGTTATTTATGTACACAATGAGGACTTATAATTTATTCTGTAATGTTACTTCCAAATTCTGGTATTTACATGTATGTGTGTGTGTGTGTGTGTGTGTGTGTGTGTGTGCTTGTGTGTATGTATGTGTTGCTACGGAACCAATCCAAGGCTTTGCACACGCTAAGCACACATTATTCTGCCACTGAGCCACATACCTAGTCCATTTATTTAAAGGCATTTTTTTCTTACATTACTGCATATTAATGGTATGAAATAATGGGTTTCATTATGACATTTTCATACATGTATTTATCTTGATAATATCTATCCCCATTATCTTCTATTTATATATTTTTATGAGTATTTTCTTTTGAAATAAATGGACTCAAAATGGACTTCCTTCATTCTATGCTGCAGAAAGTATGTTAACATAAAAACCCCAATTTGCCCTTAGCTGTGCCTCTGAACACACAGGCAGAATGATGCCTTGTTTTGCTGCATTCTTCCTTATCAGGAAAAAGAAAGAACATTTCAGCAACTACAGGCCACACTGAATCAGCTATGTGGCTACTAGGAGAGATAAAAGGTGACAAGTCCTTCTGATGATGCAACTTCCTCTCTCTGCTACTCATCCACCAGATGGCATAGAGAATGTGGCCATGACTGGTTCTCAACACATCAGGGCCCACGCCCTCAGCTGGGAGATGAACAGATAATACTACCAAAGGAAAGAACAGAGCTTATGACTGAGTATAAAAGAGGGAGTGTCTGAATTATGCCTTTTTTCTGAGAGCATAGTATATTCCCTTAGAATCTAGTTTATTTCTATTCTTTATCATGTATTTATGTGTGTGTGGTGGGGGAAGGCATGTAGACATTATGGTACATATGTGGAGGTTAGAGGACAACTTGGGGTAGTCAGTACTCTCCTTCCACCATTGTGGGTTCCTGGGATCAAATTCAGGTTATTGGGTTTAGCCGCAAGTGCCTCAAACCAATCTTGCTGGCCCTGAATCCAGTTTTGATAAAACTTTTAGATAATATGAACAAACTGTGTATAGAATAAAGTCAAGTCTAAGTCTACACTAGGATGCATTTTCTGGCCAGGACTTTCTTGGCCCTACTGATAATAAGCAAATGTTCAGAAGTTCTACAACTGTTCCAAAAAGGACATTAGAAAACCTGAGCTGGAAGTGTAACCAGAAGCAAACAGAAAAGGCAATTAAAGGAATAGAGTTTTTTTTTTTTTAAAAAAAAAAAAAAACAAAACTTAGATAACATAATGCTACGCTTGATGGCACATGGCTTTAATCCCAGTCCTCAGGAGGCAGAGGCAGAAGGCTCTCTATAAGATCGAGGCCAACCTGGTCCATAGAGTGATTTCCAGACTGGCTGGGACCAGGGAGAAATGCTGTCAAAAAAACAAACAAAAACCAAAACCAAAACCAAAAAACCAAAAAAAACAACCTTAGAGAAATCACACACTTAACCCAAAAGGAAGATAATGAAATGTTTCTCACCTTCTGAAAGTTTTCCTTCCACAGTTCTTCTACAGCTATGTATCCATGTAAACCCCAGTTATATAACTTCTCCCCGCTGACCTTGAAAGAAAAAATAGAAAAGGTAGATGGACATTGGATATTCCATTTGTGAATGATAAGAAAGAGAATTTCTTTTCTTCTGTTTTCAAAAGAACTGCATTTCATCAATATGTGAGTGCGTGAGAGAGTATTTGTGTGTCTACTACAGGAGGTCTTGAGACATACCCATTAAAACTGTGTGACATGCTGGGAATATAGTTCAGTGGTAGAGCACTTACATATGTAAGGCCCTGGCTTCCATCCCAAGTGCCAGTCCTCAAAAAAAGAAAGAAAGAAAGAGACTTGTACCTGGGTATGATAGCTCACACCTGTAATCTTAGCACTCAGGTGGATGAGGCAGATAGAATACTGCAAGTTCAAGGCCAGCCTGGGATACATACTGAGTTCCAGGTCAGCCTGAACAACAGAGTGAGATCTGTCTCAAAAACAAAAACCTGCATAACATAAACAAGTGAAAAATAAAAATAAACAAGGATGAAAAATCAAATAAAAGAAAAACCAATGATACAAAAGATAGCAAAAACAATAGGATAAGAAGTGTCTAGTTATGTATAGTTATCTTTAAAAATAATTTGCTATAAATTATAGATGCAAGGTCGGGTATGGTGGCACACACCTTTATTCCCAGCACTTGGGAGGCAGAGGCAGGCAGATCTTTGTGAGTTCGAGGCCAGCCTGGTCTACATAGTGAGTTCCAGGCCAGCTGGGGATACAAGGAGACCCTGTCTCAAAAAGACAAAAAAAATTATAGATGTATATCCTTTATCACTGATGCTGTGGATTAAATCTTGGGCCTCATGCATGCTAGGCAAGTTCTCTATTACTAAGTTACACCCCAGCTCTCAAAAGGCATATATCTAAACTAAATGCAGGCGACCACTGCTGATATGAGGAATTCCTGAAATCAGACAGACAAAGAAGGCACCTACCTAACCCATCCAGCACCCTGCCTGGTACATTACAACCAACCAAGTCATACTTACTAAGGTGAAAATCATTCATTCATTTTAAGGATGCAGATGAAAAATAAGTGAACCCAATGAAGATGGTCCACATTTTCCCAGGCATAGCCATAAAGTCTTTTAATGTACAATAGGGATTTTGTAGGTAACATGATCCATAATCCGTCATCCCATGAGCCATGATCCATAATCCATCATCCCACGATGCAAGCCCCAGGTTCCGCAAGGTCATGACCTTAAAATGTGTTTACCTATATGGCTGGAGAGGTCACAGATCCTAGAGAAAACTCTATCTCTGTCATAACTCTAGACAAATGAAATTTCTTACTATATGCTAAATCTGAATCCTTATAGTTTCAGACAAGTATACCATATACTACTCATAAAACACATTTCTTTTTGCAACAGATTAAGGCTATTACAGAGTTCCACAACTGGTCACACACAGAGAATATATATTTGAGAGATGCCCAGCCCTAAATGACACATCTACAGTGGAACCACTATACCTAAAGCTCATGGAACATAGTGGAACAGGGAGTAGAGAGAATCCTAATACATCCCTCAACTCTCACCAAAGAAGCTTCCTCATACAACAGAATGTGATACACACAGAAGACCACAAATGGCTAAGTTTTAGAGAATAAGAGACTGCAGAGTGTGTATCTTTGGATAGGACTCCTATATTAAACCTCACCCACGGCTCAGGGATCACTGTAGAAGAGGGGGTGGAAAGATTGTAAGAGCAAGGGTTGGTGCATGAACATAAGGAAACAGAGGCTTTCAGGCCTCTGGGAACTTGCTCATATAAACTTGCAACAACGGTGACAGCGTACACAAAGACCTATGCTGACTCAATCAGACAAAAACCCAGCACAGAACAAGGGAAATGGACAGCAGGCCCCAACCCCAGCCTAGGAACTTTTGGCAACTGATTAATGCTGGGTGAGGGAAAATAAACATTTTTTTATTTTATTAAATATTTTTATTTTATGTGTATGAGTGTATTGCCTGCATGTGTGTAAGTACACCCATGTCATGCAATAGCCATGGTGGTCAGAAGAAGGCCTTGGATCCCCTGGAACTGGAATTACAGATGGCTGTTATCTGCCAAGTGGGTGCTGGGAATCAAACCCAGGTCAAACGTAGATCTTCTTTAAGGGAGTGTCTCTAGATAGGCTGACTAGACTCCAATGGATGAACTTGCACTGAGGGACATCTGGGTACAAATGCTTGACTAGAAAGGACTTAACATATATACAGAATGCATGAAATCCAGTGGGGGGTGCTATAGAGGGGCACAGATGGGGGTAAGGGTCTAAATTTGATTAAGACCTATTATATGAAATGCACAAAAACTGAATAAAATACATTTTTAAAAGAGTGGTCTTTCTAACATGCTGATTTCTGCAAATTATATTCTTCAGTTGTACCTTATAACTCTTAAAATATATGATACGATATGATTCTTAGACTCCTTGGTAGATACATTGAGCACTTATCACATATATGATACTGCAATTCCTGGTGTTTTTACATTTCAGAGATGAAAATAACGTTTTCCTTTCGTCTGAAGGCACTTTATTTTATTACATTTTTTGTGGTGTTGGACATGGAATCCATGGCCTTGCGCATGCTAGGCAAGTGCCTAGTACCACTGAGCTACTTTTTCTGTCCCAATCTTATGGCTTTCTTACATTATTTCTAGCTATATACTACTGAACAGAAAACAGAACTTAAGTAGTTAAGTGGTTTGTCTAAGATTGAGGTTTCATAAGAAAGAAAACTGAAACTACGAAAGAGGAACTCCATTACACTGATACAAGATCAGAAAATCTCTTCAAACGTTGACGTTTGTTTGTTTTGGTTTTATTGTGGTAAAATATACATGACATGATTTTTAAAAGATTAAAAAATAAAGAAAAAACATAGACACAATAGAAAATTGACCATTCTAATAATTTTAGGAGTGCAATTCAATGGCAATAAGAATATACATAATGTTGTTCAATCATCACCACTAGGTATTTCCAGAAGTTTTTCATCACATCATACTACCTTGGTTACGAATACAGAAGATGCTTTACAAAATATGCCGAGGCACAGAAGGCAAAAAAGAGCCTCTGTGAAGACAGACACATTTGCTTCTCAACCAGTAGCTCAGCCTCCAGCCCTCAGTCATTTACTACTTAAACTATGAGACTGAAATGATGATGTTCTTTTTGTTTTTCATTTATCTAGGCAAAGCAGATGCTACTCACTCTTCCTGAGCTGGGGCCAGAGCAGGGACAGCAACACTCACTGTCTCCAAGACTGTTACAAACAATCTCAAGCTCACGCTAGAAAGATCCTCTTGGCACTGGTAACAAAAACCATCAGTTTTCTCATGGCTGGGGCCACTAAATTCCCACCTGCATGGGCAGCCCAACCTGGGAAGTGGGACTTACTTTTGCCATGAGGAATTCAGGGGGCTCAGTGTCAAGTTGGTCTGGCTCAGACAGCCACCAGAGCCTAATTTTACTGAGCAAAATTTTACTGAGTACACTGCTGTCTTCTAGAATCATATCTCTACGTGATATGGAAGTTCTAGCAAGTGGGTTCCTATGTCCATAAGCTGTCCAGGACCTTAGATACTACAGCCTGCCTTGCTCTTACCACTTTTCACAGGGATTGTATGTGTACGGTCCCACCAACTCCAGACACCAGCCTCTAAGGCTACCTACTGGTCTATATCAGTGGCTCTTAAATATCTTGGCATCTGAATCACCCGGAGGCCTTGCTAAAATACAGATTAGTCTAGCCCTTACCCTCAGAATACCTGATTCAGTTGGTCTGGGGTAGACTATGAGAATTTGCATCTATAACTGACAAAGTTCCCAGGAGACACTGATGGTACTGATCTTGGGAATATAGTTGGAGAACCTCTGGTCCAGCTTTACCCAACTTATCTGCCACTGTGATCTAACTACTTGTTATGATATCAAACTGAGGTCTGAAGGATAAGGAAGAACAGTCAACTTAGAGCCCCCAAGAAGGACCTTCACAGCAGAGGGGAACATATGCCTCATCTTCCAGGAAGGAAAATGAGCCTAGCACCAATACCAGGGAGAAGCCACAAAGGTCAGAGCACAGGCTGTGCTGACAACGCCAGTGAGGGCAGATCCAAGTGGCCTGTAATTATCAGCTTTGGAATTTGAGTCTTGAGACTTTTGTGTAACTATGTAAAAACAGTACCTTAAATTTTCTTGGATTAATATTCAAATTAACATGCACTCTCTGAACACTAATATTACTGGAAGGAAGGCTGGTACTGTGGTAAATAGTGAGAAGGAACTTTTAAATTTGCTGTAATTCATCTATCTGTGCAAATATATTTTAGTCTGGTGTTAGAAAAACTGAAAAATAAAACAAAGTAAACCAGCAAACCTACAAGTCACAAAAAAGCAGGACTGAAGAACATCCAAGCTTGCTGGGTCTGTCTGACTCACCTGGGCAAAGGCGATGGCTTGTTGTGGGTAATAGATAGAGGCAGCTAATCCCATGAAACAAGGAGGATACACCAGCTTCTTTATTTTTGAACCTAATAAATAGAAGGTGGTACATACCATTAGATGCTTTGTCCTTACTGTCACAATTTGCTTCGTACATTTAATACCAAACAAGATGCCTGTGGCCCTCAACAGAGATATCATTTAATAGTACATATAACAAAAAGAAACCACCCCTTTCTTACTGCTTTGACATGTAATTCATACAATTCAATACAGTACAAAAAAAGTACAAAATACAGCGACTTTCAGTATAGTCACAGAATTGTTCAACCATCATCACAGTCAAGTCTATCATCCTCAAAAGAAACCCCCACTTTTGGTGGCAAAGCACGTGCTCAGCATGCAAGAGGCCCTGGAATCCCCAGCACAAATGAATGAACAAACAAACAAACAAATGAACAAATGAATGAAAAAAAGAAACCCATACCCAACCTAGGCCAACAGTAATCTATTCTCTATCTCTACAGATTTGCTTACTCTGGTCATTTCATACAAACAGAATCATATAAAATATGATCTTCTGTGACCAACTTCTTTCACTTTGCAATATTTTCAAGAGAACCACCATTAATCAATTAAGTAATTATGAAGACAATGTAGCCCAAGCTGGCCCTAACTCATGCTCCTCCTCTCTCAGCCTTCTGAGTCCTAGAATTATAGGCTCTGCTTTTTTGGCTTTATTTTGCTTTTTGAGAGTCTATGACTATGTAGCCCAGGCTACTCTTGAACTTGTGATTCTTCTGCCTCTGCCTCCTAAATGCTGGGATTACATGTGTGTACTGCCATGCACAGCTTGAGAACCATCATTTCTAAAGCAGCACCGAAAAACTGTTTTGAAAAAAACCCAGTATTTTTGTTTCTAGGCTTTACTTTTTTTTTTTAAGGAAACTTAGTGCTTTCCTATTTCAATACAAAACATAATTGTTCCTTTCCTCTTCTTGGGATTTAATTAAACTAACAATAAGAGACTACAATAGAGATTAGAAACCCCATAAGGAAGAGAAAATGTATAAAGGGGCTACTGGCAGATAAGAACTGTCAACCAGGGGCTGGAGAGAAGGCTCAGCAGTTAAGAGCACTCGCTATTCTTGCAGAAGACCCAAGTTCAAATCCCAGCATCCACATGGTGGCTAATAACCATCCATAATTCCAGTTGCGGGGTATCCAGCTCCCTCTTCAGGCCTCTACGGTCATTGCACAACACAGGTGCATTTACACACATGTAGGCATAACACAACACTCATACACACAAAATAAAAATAAATCAATAAAAAGAGCTGCCAACCAGGGCTGAGGATGTAGGTCAGTGAGAGATTACTTGCCTACCATAGGCAAAGCCTGGGTTTCACTCCCAGTACCACAAAAAAAGGTATCAACTGCTAGGAATATAGCTCAAGTGGCAGAGTGCTTGCCTTGTTCACAAAGCCTCGGGTTCATCCCCAGCATCTTTCTCTTTCTCCCGCTCTCTCACTCGCTCTCACTCTCACTCTCTCTCTCACACATACACCTACATACACAATGTCAACCAATTTTCAGAAAATGGGTGTGAATGGAAAAGAAAAAGCAAGCAGTGTTGTCTTGAAGAAGGGCTTCAACCAAGAAAGGAACAGATCCTGCCAAGGTACAGATGGCAGGGACTACAGTGAATAGAGATAGTAACCAGGAATCAAGACAGGAGGACAAGTGAAAGTCATGCTTGTCCTAGCACATACCAGCCTATGGCCTGGGAGTCATGCCAGGCCAATTTAAAAGCAAGGCAGGGTATCATTAAAAAAATAAACAAACAAACAAAAACAAAACATGAACTGTTTTTGCTGAGAACCAAGAAGGCCGTGTGTGTGTGTGTGTGTGTGTGTGTGTGTGTGTGTGTGTGTGTGTTACTGCCTGATTAAAGACCTACTCCACACAAAGTCAGTTCCCATCCAGTTCCGTCCAGTTCACCGTTAAGATACAACCTGCCTGCCAGCAAGCCCCAATCTATGCACAAAGAGTTCTTACTAGCATTTCAATTGCCTCATTCTGAAACATGACTGGACAACCAAGGCTCACCAGACATTGGAGGAGAGCCTGCAACATAAAAAAGAAAGTCCAAGACAAGTCAACAAGAAAAAAAAACAAATGACCCCACAGGAAAGAGAACTTCAAAACCAAAACTAAGCCTGTTATTAAGTGTCATTAAATAAATTTAAGAAGCTACTCCATTAAAAGAAAATAGAGTTCTATATAAAAAGAGACATTCAGAGAACAAGACCAAAGTCAAAAATTTAAAAGGAATGAAATAAAATAATCAAAAGAAAATGTAAGACACACAGTCACCAAATGTTAAGTGAAAAAGCTCATAAAGAAAAAATAATGTTCAAAGGAAAAAAGATCCATATCACTGTTCGGCTGAAGGTGGCACATCACCAAAATGTCCCACCAAAGAAAATCATCTACATCTAGTCATTACATCATGGAAATGCTAAAAATCCTCAGATTTCCAATAATTGTTTAAAAAGGAACAAGACACAACACGTACCCAGACTGACTATCCACTCTACATCTGCAACTAGCATGCACGGCTTGCAGAGTCTGGATGGAAAAGAAATCCAAACTATCCAAACTGTCAATCAGTATGAAGGCAGGCATCAAAGATCTTGAAACGCTTGTCTCTCCCACACACTTCAGCGTGTAGCTCAACAACACGGCTGAATACAGCAAGGAGAAGATAATATGGAAGCCCAGAAAAAGGGGGCTCAATATCAAGAGAGTATCAAGAAAAGTTCCATGACAACAGCTGTGCTAGTCTCAGGCCAGGTTACAAGTGAGGTAGAGCTGTGAGGAAAGTGGAATGGATAGAACAAACAGCAGGATACCACGTTTGGAGAAACCTAAGAACCAGGAGAAAACAGCCTGGCTGAGGAGAAAAAGGAGGATGCACAGGGACCTAATGCTTGAAGTGATCTCTCCTAAGAGGCTTATCGTTTTTGACACAGGACCCATAAACATCTTAGTATAATATGTGTTAATACCACTTACACGGTTCTAATGATCTGAATGCTACTTATTTATTTTAAACTTTATTATTATTTTAAAATTTTTTATGGCGCTGAGGACAGGACCCAGGGCCTTGTGCATGCTAGGCAAACACACTAATGAAAGTACAACCCCAGGCGCTGGTTTTATACTTTAAATAGATAAATTCCCAAAGACAAAACTGTCAATACAAATGTTACAACGGAGGTTATTTTGAATAAATGCTTTTCTCCCAGTCTTATTGCTTGGATGAAGGATATAATTATCCTAGAAAAGTTTGTTATGCCTGGGATCTGACCTGTCCTTGAAGCTTTAAATACCTAGGGAGCTCAAACAGGTAGGAACCACATGAAGACCAACTAACCTGTCGCCTAGTCATTTTTAACTCCTCTAGGGAAAGCTGAGAAGTGGCAGCTCTTGGGCAGTCAATCCCTTTTGATCTATACAATGGGCTGGGATCCCCCGTACTCCAGGGAGGTGTGATCACATGCCCAGCCCCCATCGTCATACTCAGATCTCCCAAGAAGCCAATGAGTAATGTAGGCTGTGACTATCAGCACTGCCAGAGTGCAACTGCTGGCTGTGAGCATGGGGAAGAACCCTCCAAAGACAACAGTAGCCACAACCACCTCTCAGGGAACCTCTCATTATTACCAGTCATGGGCATCCTCATCAACGGAGGCACACCATTTAACTGATGCCCAAAGAAACCCTGCTGCCCTGTACCCATCCTGCTGCTGCCAGCACAGAGGGGCCATCTCCCTGGAGGAGCCTACAAACCACTCTGGCTACCTTGGAACATCCCCTCAGTGATCCTCTCTGACAGCACTCACGTCAGGCCCTTCTACATCCAGCACCCATGGGAAAAGACTTAATGCTGCCTATATGTGCATGTGGACTTTTTTTAAAAAAAAGAATTAAGGTTTCAAACAATTTTAATACTACCAAGACATTCCAGGAAAGAAAAGGAAAGCTAGGAATAAGCAAGTAAGCAATCAGGAAAACACACACAAAGGACAGGTCACCCAGGAGTGACGACCTCATGCTGTGGTTCCACTCAGGAGAACCGAGTCATGCATTTACTCCACAGGTGGATGGGGATTGGCACTAGTATAGTGATTGTCCTCCTGACTGTAAAGCCTTCCTCATGATGTGGATGGGACAAGACTCTCCTACAGACTCAAACTATGGAGAGAGAGAGATGTTGGGGAACCCTGCTGTTAAGGCCCGATTCCCTTTCTCAACAGGGGCTTCCTACTCTCGGCCTGACCTTATTTGGATAGTGTCTCCAAGCACAGATGCCTGGCCTTATTTGGATCATGACCTTCGGCATAGTTACCTGCAAGAGCTGCCCCCTAGGTTTTTTCCTGTATGATAACTAGGCATTGCAATATAGCTAGACAATAGGGTCCTCCTGCCACATGTAAATAAAGCATACTATGAGCACCTATCAGGTAAAGCTTTGGCTGCCATCTTCGCCCTACATTTTCCCCTGACCCCCGCTGAATAAACGAGCTGTATCACTGAAGCTGACTCCCAGAAGGTCTTTTCTGTCATACTCACGGGCTGCCCTGACCCTGCTCGCCGCCTCTGCTCTCTTTGCTCTTGCGGATTGGTCAATGACCCACGAGGGACGAGAGAGACCCACAGAGAGAGAGGCAGAAGCACATCTCACTGGGTCCTCCATTCCCTTCATAAACATAATTCCAATACTCTGATCTCGGGATGTTTATCAATCTCAAACAGTATCAAAATGAGACTGAACAGCTCCTCTTGTGAACAGCTTTGCATGAAAAGAAGGGAAAGGAGCATGAGAGAAAGATGGTCACAAGTTGATATTAAAAATGAACTGAAAATTCAATTTCATTACTCTGCCCAAGACAGGAAGAGGGTCTGGTGACTAAGGCAGAAGTTTTTTCCACCAGGGGCACTGGGAGTGGCACCGGTGCAGTTCTCATCCTCCTGGCTCTAAAATAACACACCATGCATGAAAATGAAACAGTTCTAAAATTAGAGGACTAGGGTATCAAACTGTGGTTCTCTTTTATGGTGGTCAGATCACAGGGTTCTGTTGGGATGTCTCTATTTGGAATTTTTGTTTGTTTTATTCTATTTGAGACAGGATCTCATTCTGGAGGTCAGGTTAGCCTATAACTCACTATGTAACCCAGGTTGGTCTTGAACTAAAGGCAATCCTCTTGCTTCAGCCTCCTGTGTGCTAGGATTTACAGGCATGAACTATCACACCTAGCTTCCAATCAGAATTTTGGAAACATTTGAATTTTATCACATAAGCATTTAATTTTTTAACTAGTAAAATTTCAAATAGTTCATTAGAAATTAATCTCTTCATAGTGAAGTCTTTATTACCTTTACTTCCTGTAAATGTTTTATAATGTATTAGGTAGAGTGGTGTAATATTTTTGGTGCTAGGCATCAAGCCCAGGGCTTCATGCATACTAGGCAAGCAGGCAAGCACTCAGCCACTAAGCTACATATCCAGCCTCTACTGTAATATTCTCAAGTAGGTATTTATTACCTTTTTAAATCTTAAATATTTTAAAAGTTTTTTATCATCACTGACTGAAGCCATGATATGTGAAGAAGTTAATAAGTTATGAAATCACTGTCTTATTTACTGTGATCAATAGCCTGATCACAGTAGTAAAACATTTAGAAACAGATTGTCAGGTATGAAAGACTTTGAACAAAAGTCCCCCCTTTCTGCACCAAAGAGCAATAGGGATTTGAACAATGTGCCTATTTTTTTTTTTAGTTTTTAGTTTATGAGTGTGCTGTCTGCCTGTATGTAAGTGCACCTGTGTCATGCAATGCTCACAGAGGTCAGAGGAGGGCGTTGGATCCCCTGGAACTGGAGTTACAGATGGTTGTTAGCTGCCATGTGGGTTCTGGGAATTACAGTCAGGTCCTCTGTAAGAGCAGCCAATGCTCTTAACTACTGAGCCATCCCTCCAGCCCAACAATGTGCTTATTAAATATAACTTATTTTTCTCACCAATTTCTAATACATGCTTAAAGTCAAACATAATGGAGTAAATAAACACATTAATTATATATTAAAGTCCACATTCAGGAACCAACTTATCCTGAAAACTATTAAACAAATGTAAAGAACCAAACGTATACCCTACCTCTCCCATATGAACTGGCTGAAAAAAGAAACTCACAAAATTGCACCTACCTCTAGTAAAAAGGAGTCCAACGAAACCGGCAAACCCAATAACACCAAGTCTTGGAAAAAATCCAGGAGGTGCATTTTGGAGATAGTCACAGCTGTCTACAATAGAATCAGATTGGGAAATAATTCAAAAAATTGCTCATTAAAAAGCAAAAGAAAGGCTCCCTTTAGCAAAACATGTACTAAAATTGGAAAGCTAAAGAGATTAGGATGGCCCCTGCGCAAGAATGAAATGCAAATTCATGAATCAGTCTATATTTTTTTTACTTTTTAGAAAAATTTTATTTATTTTTATTTTATGTGTATGCATGTATTGCCTGCATGTAGGTAAGAGCACCCATGTCATGCAATGTCCGTGGAGGTCAGAAGAGGCTGTCAGATCCCCTGGAGTTATGGACACTTGTTAGCTGCGATGTGGGTGCTGGGATTCAAGCCCAGGTCTTCTGCAAGAACCACCAGTGTTCTTAACTGCTGAGCCATCTCTCTAGCCCCACATTTCATATTTTTTTAAAAAAGAAAAAGTCTCATATATAATTAGTTCATATGGTGCCAAATGGGTTCCAAACCATGCATTTATTGGTGCTAATACACAGTTTTGGCTTTTTGCTTAGTTTTTTTTGCTGTGATGAGGGTCTCATTTAGTCCAGAGTAGCCTTGAACTCCTGATTATCCAGGGACTACAGGTATATGTCACCATACCTAGCTCCTACGTTTTTAGAGACAGTCTTGCTATGTGGCCCAGGCTGAATTTACCCTTGCTTTTGTACCCCAGACAGGCCTGGAACTCACAATCTGCTTCAGCCTTCTGAATGATGGGATAACAGGTATATAACACCATGGCTGACTCTGCTACTAAGCTTCTTTTCAACACATTCTTTCAGGAACCAAATATATTAAACTCAGAAAAGTAATATCCTTTGCCATATGAACTCATTATTTGAACTTAAGAACAATACATTCAGACAATGAAAGAAAATTATAGTGTAAATTCATGCTGGAAATAAGTAGCCACTCTGGGGTGGTGACAGAATGAATAAATAAAGATAAATCTAACAGTGGGCCTACCCACAAACTCTAACATGTGACCCTACTCACCATAAGCATGCCCTAGGACTTGGATTTGTATGGTACCTCCTTCCCTCTCTTCTCCACAGAGCCAATGCCACTGTGGATTAGAGCCAGCTTGGGCCCCGTCTCCTCAGGAGAGGTCATCCAAAATTCACTAGCACAGATACTGCCTCCTTTTCGAAAGTTCCATTAACTGTTATTCTCTGCACCATCCCTTGGTGCTTATCCTATGACACCTTGTGATTCATCATCCATGTGTGTGTTATGCCTCCCCACAGAGAACACACACACCCTCATGGTAGTTTGTATAGACTTACATGTATCTTCTCTCAGCGGTAATAGTGGACAGTTACCCAACAGATCTTTGTTAAGGACACTGCCAGGTACAATAACACATATTGATGTGATGAAGACCCATGATGTATGATGAAAACCATTACTTTGTATGCTAACCTAAAAAGTTAATTAAAAAGAATATTGCCAAGAGTTGATGAATACTAGGTAAATTAACAAATGACTTCCAACTAAGTCATGACTTAGAAAGTCCTCGTTCTCTCAGCTTTATCCTTAGCACTCCCAGTTTATGATTCGTCTTTGAAAACCCAACACTAAGTCCTATGTCTAAGCCTTCATCATACCATATCTGCTGTGTGGATTGCTGCCCCACCCCACTTTGGTGTGGTTAACATTGCTCCACAGAGCTTTGTCTTTAGAAATCCTTCCCTGACTACTCTTATCTCCTCAATTTCTTTTTAATCTGTCTTCTTCCTCTTTACCCTTATAACTTTCTCTGTATTTGGACTAGTATTAAATAATTTATCATACACACACACACACACACACACACACACACATGCATGCATGTGCTCAAATACACACACCAGTGGTTGTGACTACTGTCTTTTGGGATGGGGGCGGGGAATGTCTACTTTGTTTTGAGACAGAGAATTGCTATGTAGTCCAGGCTGGCTTCAATCTTATGATCCTCCTGCTTTAGCCTTCTGAATGGAATTCATCACAGTGCCTGGATTTGATCACTGTCTTAACCTTGATTTTCAATGTGTCGCATGATGGTGATTTAGCAAATGTATGTTCAACTGGAAAAATAAACTAGAATACTCAGTAGTTCTCTCCCCCAGGTAATACCAGATACATGTCAATTTTCCTTTTCCTTGGTTCTCTGGGAAATATGGTAATCATTCTAAACACTAGTATAGGGCTTGTGTCATGTTCTTTTGCTTAGTTTGACTTGAACATAGTTTTTTTTCTTTCTATCCTCTTGTCTGAGTCATTTGAGGCAATTTTCTACTCTTTATTTTTGTCTACTAGCACAGTGTTGCTCAATTCTAGACATGAACACAGAGCAGTTGACAAGAGGATACTCGGGAGGGCTTTGTGAGCTGAGTTGAAGTGGACAAATCACAAAGAAATGGGAAAGAAAACATGTTTTAAGATTGCACTTGAAGCCGAAGTCCAGCTTCTGGTAACATACCTTAGCTGTGACTGCTGGAAAATGGACTGACAGTCTTGGCATAATGGAATGCCTCTTCCTAAGAGTCATTATAGTAACTGTGTTCAGGAGAAGCAAAGATAAACATTGCGAATAATGCTGCTGCTATGAATCAATGGGAGATGATAAGTTAACAATGAGGGGAACTCCTTGGTAACATGTTTTAATTCCAGCATGAAAACAAACCCTTGAAAAACAAGTCTTTAATCTACTGAGATGCCCAATAAGGAGAATAAAATATACGTCAATATCTCTACTAGTCTACTAGTTCCTGGCGAAGATTAATCAAAACACAGACTGTGAACTCAGTTTGAGTGACCATGACAAGTGACCCATGCATAAGACACAATCAAGGACAATAAAATTCAAATAAAAAATGTAAGAACACTACTATTTATGCAGTAAGACCTTACCCAGGCACACCAGCTCAGTTCCTACCCACCTCTGCATTTCTACAACATTTAATAATAGCACCACTAGTCAATTACTCTGATTTTGAAAAATCTATTGAAGAGTCAGTGTGTTGTGTTACCAGCTCAGTTCCTACCCACCTCTGCATTTCTACAACATTTAATAATAGCACCACTAGTCAATTACTCTGATTTTGAAAAATCTATTGAAGAGTCAGTGTGTTGTGTTACATTTCAAATGGTTTTGGGCTTCTTGTTTATTTTTGTTTTGTTTTCGTTTTGTTTGCAGAGCTGAAGATGGAACCCTGAGCCTCACAGATGCTAAGGAAGCATTCTGCTACTGAGCTTCATCCCCAGCCTTGGACTTTTTAAAAAAACTCTAGTATATCAGCTCTTGCTAGCCCAATAATCCTAATAATGTTGAGATTTATGAAATACTAGTCCTCTGAAACCTGATAAAAATACGATATTCTTCCAGAAAAAAAAATCTATGTAGCTCCAAAGTTTTGCATATAATTTCAAGGACTCTACAGATTTTCCAAGGTCATTCATGAAAACCCAGTTAAATATTTTGATATAATGAACAAACTGGTTATACCTAATTAAAAATCAACTTACCTAACCCCCACTGAACCAAACGTTCCATCTTGGGCTTAGTTTGGGAATATATTTCCTAAGAAGATAAAAATAAACAGAATGAATAGGGTTTGTTGATTAGAAAGTAACAATAAGTACACTCGTCTTTATTAAATAAAGTATCACTATTACCACTTCTTTGGTGCTGGGGATGAATCTAGGGCCTCAGGTAAGTTGAGCATATACACTACCATTGAGCTAAACAAACATTAAGTTTTTGAACTTTCAGGATTTTTGCTTTTACTTTCTCTCATAATTTCCCTTTGACTGCAAACTGCTCATCAGAATGGCTTATCATCATAGAAAGCAAAGACTGCAAGTATAATGGCTTTGACAACCTAGTCATCTCACTCTTCTCTTAAGACTGAGGGAAATAATAGGCAGAAAATCAATTCTATTGATAATTACAGAGCTGATCCTTTCCCCCATGAAATTAAAACTGTCTTTCATATTGTCTATTTTCTGATTTGCCTATATTTGAAAAGTGCTCATTTGAAACAGATATGGCCAGCTTTAATTAGACCAAAGAGTTAATCACATCCCAATCCTGAAATAAATGAACTTACCAACATTCTCTTAACACTACAATGGCTTTGAGGAGCTGGAGATGCAGTTCAGTGGTAGAGATCTTACCTACATGAGCAAAGAGCTGGGTTCCATCCCCAGTTCTGGCAAACAAACAAACAAATATATAACCCCCTCAAACAAAATAAAAGTATAAACAATAAAACGGCTTGTATATGCATATCAAATGATCCTAAAGGAAATAAGGAATTAGCTAAAAGATAGACACCTTTAAGAACTCCAGTAAAGATGGGAAGAAACAGGGATGTCTAAAGCTATGAGAACTAGGTGCCACTTGGAAAAGGACTGTTTTATATATTTTGGTCCAAGCCAGAATAAGTTATCTTCATTCTTTTAAATGGGCTTATAAAATAAATGTTCAATTTGGAGGAGGACAAAAAGAACTGAATATTAGGGCTGGAGAGATGTCTCAGCAGTTCAGAGCATGCACTGCTCTTACAGAAAACCTGAGTTCATTTCCCAGCACCTACATCAGCTGGCTCACAACTGCTCATAACTCCAGCTCCAGGAGATCTGAGGCCCTCTTCTGGTCTCCACAGGCACATTCACTCATATACGCATACCCACATAGCAAGACTCACACATACACCTAATTAAAAATAAAGCAAAAATCTTTAAATGAAAAAGAACTGAATATCACTTCATTAAAATCTACTTTCTTTTGGAGTCAGGGGCTCCTCCCAAGCCCATGTGACCCCTGAGGAAGAGATCCTCAAACGACCTTAAGAGTAAATATAAATTGATTTATCTGGGCCAACTGCATGGTCTTAAACACCCAAAAGCAAAGTATAACCAAAGATTAAAGAGATAGATATAATTCTTTAAGAGTCCATGTGTATAGCTAAAGGCTACAAAACAAGAAAAAATGCCAGACAGGAGACACCTTCCTTTGAGTTATTGGCCAGGGTGGCCCAAGAGACTCCCAGACAGTAACCCAGTGTAGAACTTGGAAAATGAACAGCAGACCCCAATCTTATCTAAAGGAATATTGACAACTGATTGCTATAGATGAGGAACAGGTGACCTTCCTAAAACAAAAATCTCTCAATAGGCTGACTAGATTCAGCAGATGGACAAGCACTGGGAAATGGCTGGAGGTCCCAACAACACAGTGGATAGTAACAGGGATGACAGAGTGTATGGGCTCGAGTTGGGGGCAGGATGCTATGGGAGGGTGCCATTTGGGAAATGGGTATACAGATGAATAAGATTGTTTGGGATGTTTTGTATAATATACACACCAAAAAATCAACAAATAAAAAAATGAGTTATATTTGGATGTAAGACAAATAAACCCTTTCCTCCCCAAGTTGTTATTGGTCAGAGTATTTTGTCACAGCAATGAAGAAACAAACTAAGACAAGACCCCAATCTTATCTAAAGGCATGTTGACAACAGCTTGCTGCTAGATGAGGAAGACCTGATCTTCCTAAAACAAGGAACCATAGATAGGCTGACTAGATTCAGAGGATGGACAAGCACCAGGGAACAGCTAGGGAGCCAACAACACAGTGGACAGTAACAAGGATGACAGAGTATATGGGCTCCAGTGGTGGTGGGGGGGGGCTATGGGAGGGTGCCATTTGGGATGTGGGTATATGGATGAGTAAGATTGTTTGGGATGTTCTGTATGAAATACACACATTTAAAAAAAATCAAAAAATTTTAAAAAATGAGTTAAGGGGGCTGGAGAGATGGCTCAGCAGTTAAGAACATTGGCTGTTCTTGCACAAGACCCAGGTTTGAATCCCGGCACCCACATGGGAGCTAACAACTGTCTGTAACTCCAGTCCCAGGGGATCCAACAGCCTCTTCTGTCCTCTGTGGGCATTGCACAACATGGGTGCACTTACCTACATGTAGGCAATAAACACATACACATAAAAATATAAATAAAATATTTTTTAAAATGAGTTATATTTGAAAAATAAAAATAAAAAAATAAATCTTAAAAAAAAATCTACTTTCTTTTTTCCATCTCTAAGAAAAGAGGGGGGGGCTGAAGAGATGATCAGTGGTTAAGGGCACTAGCTGTTCTTGTAGAGGACCTGGGTTTGGATCCCAGCACCCACATGTCAGCTAACACCTGTCCGTAACTCCAGTTCCAGATGATCTGACGCCCTCTTCTGACCTCTGCTGGCATTGGACGATACAGGTACACTTACATATATGCAGACAGTATACTCATAAACATAAAATAAAAGTAATAAAATACTTTTTAAAAAAGAAAAAGAGAAAAGGGAGGACTGGAGAGATGGCTCAGCAGTCAAGAGTGCTTGTGGCATAATTATGAGAACTGGAGTTCAGATCAACTCCAGCTGAGCAATATGATGTTCTCTACTGATCTCCATGTGTGCACAGGTGTACCTACATGTACACGTGTGTGCATACACATGCACAAATGAAAGAATAAACCTTTTACAAAGGAAAAAAAAACCTATACGTCAATGTCTGGAGTGACGGAGTGACAGCCTACTTCTTTTGCTAGGTTAATCATTTTGGTATTAAAAAATTAGATTAGTTCTGTCAGGTGTGGTGGCGCATGCCTTTAATCCCAGTACTCAGGAGGCAGAGGCAAGCGAACTTCTGTGAGTTCAAGGCCAGCCTGGTCTCCATAGCGAATCCAGGCCAGCTGTGGCTACAGGGAAACCCTGTCTCAAAAAGACCAAAAAAAAAAAAAATGCTTCTCTGAAAAAAAAAAAAAATGCCAGGAATTAGAAATACTTCTATTTATGAAGAGTTCATTCTACCAACAAAGCGATCATAACTACAAGAATTTTTTTCATTTATAATTACTACAAATAAACATGTTGATAACCAGCTTATCACATAGAGGTATTTTGTTGCACTGAATGTTACAGAAGAAAAAGTGTAAAAAAAAGCAATCAGGTTGAAAGGTAAACAAAGTACTTTTTTCTGAGACAGGGTCTCCTTATACAGCCCAGACAGGCCTCAACCTTGCAGCAAATGCCCTGATCCAGCATCCTTAGTGCTGGGATCATAGGAATGAGCCGCCACACTCAGCTGGCAAAATACTTTTCTTACAGTACAAAATGGGCTGAGGGTGCAGCTCAGCAGTACAGTGGCTAGTGTTGTTGATAGAGCTCATGTGCTTTATTTTTTTTCTCAACTGGTGAACGAAAGTCAGCAATGGAAGAGTTGGTGGAAATTAAAAATATTGCAGCATCTATGATGAAAACTGAATTTTCAGATGTCAAGCAAAATAAATCTCATCATTTTGTACATGTCTACATATTATTTTTTCTTCACTTCTGCTTACTTTTCAAAATCAAGATCAAGTACAACAAACATGTGCCAAAGTCTACAAAAGCATTCTATAGATTGCAAACTTTGGTTTCAGATGCTAAAAATCATAGAATACTTTCATTTCCATAACGACAAATGCCTGGGACATCAAACATGAGCAGGGACAGAAGTCAATCGATACCTATAGTTCTTCCATCACAGAGGTGAACAGTTCAGTACTCAAACAAGTAATTCTACCCCTTTTGGAATCTCCCAACCTATTTCAGCCTTCAAATGCTCTATAGTCATGCCTGTTTAAGGTGGTACAGACTGAGTATTATTTATCTGAAATACTTATGACCTGATGTGTGTTAGATTTCAGAGGTTTTTGGATTTATAGGCTGAACGGTCCTAATATAAAAATTCTAAATCCAAAATGATCCTACATTAGGGAGGCTCAACCTGTACTGATTTGTAAAATTTCTGGTGGGAGATACACATTCCAATTCTTTTTGTATGTGTGTGGATGGTGTACATGTACAGGTGTGTGTGTTGCTTTGTGAGGATTCAGGTGTGTATGCATGTGTGCACACATGTGGAGGCCAGAGGTCAATCTCAGGTATCAGTTGCTGTTGTTGCTGCTGTTGTTTGTAATGGAGTCTCTCATAGGACTTGGGTCATCAAACTCAGGTTGACACTTTACTGACCAAGCCATTGCCCTAGTCCAACATCCCAATTTCGATAGACATGTTTACATTATACTCATTTCCTTCCATTGGAGTCCCATGTCCTCCCTATTGCACACAACAGCTTCATAATCACAACCAACAAGGTAATTATGAGCCAGCGCCCTCCAGTCAATGTGCTACAACTTTTCTGGTCAGAGGGGAATTCTCCTAGGGCCTCATTGCATCTTCTCCCCAGGCAGCACTCACAAACACTTGTAAGTAGGACCCCATTAATTTAGGATCCTTTATTACGCCTTTTTCTAAGAACATGCAGTCAAGGCCAGGCACGGTGGTGCACACCTGTAATCCAAACACCTGTACTGGTCACTGAGACAGAAAGATTGCCAGTCTATGCTGCATAGTGATTTCCAGGCCAACCTGACCTACTGAATGAGACTCTATCTCAAAATAAACCAAAAAATGAATAAAGAAAAATGAAAACAAAAATAAATTATATAGCCAATATAGACTTTTCTTTTTTCAATATAGATTTTTCACTATTAACTCTTAAATAGATGTACCTGACACCAACTTGTATATGGCTCACAATGATGTCGGAGCTGTGAGATGCTTTCTTCAAGTTGAGTCCTTGGCTCCTCCACATATTTAGACTGACCCTCCAGAACTGAGTAGAGTGAAAGCTACACACATTAAAACAAACAAAAAAAGCACACACCATAATGAGATCATGTAACAAGAGATCAATTTTGAAGGTTAATATTTCTAGTAATTTGTAAATTGCAGCCTCTAATTTTACTTCAGAAGATCTCAGTACCTTGCTTCCTCAATCAATAAGGACAAGAACAAGAGGACGGGACTACAAGGTGTCCTGTCTCTGCCCTATCCACTTTATCTACTGTTTTGTTTCGGTAGTGTGAGGTACTGAACTCAGTACCTCAACATGTAAAGCAAGCACTCTACCACTGAGCTACACCCCCAATCCCCTTTATCCATTTTACATACTGGTAAATGATCTTTCACCCCAGACTTAGACTGGAAAAAAACATTTTCTTATTCTAAAGGGTGAATGGAATGAATGGAATGAATGGAAGATTGCTTTTTCTTCTGCATTTCATTATTTATTTAGATGTTTAAGCTCTCGAACTAAGTTTTTTTATTTTATTTTTTTTAATTTTATGTGTATGCATGTATTGCCTGCATGTAGGTAAGTACACCTGTGTCGTGCAATGCCCGCAGAGGTCAGAAGAGGCTGTCGGATCCCCTGGAACTGGAGTTACGGACAGTTGTTAGCTGCCATGTGGGTGCTGGGATTCAAACCCCGGCTTCTGCAAGAACAACCATTGTTCTTAACCACTGAGCCATTTCTCCAGCCCCTCGAACTAAGTTTATACAAGCTGGTGAACACGGACAAACACAGAACTATAACCACACATTTCCAGACAGCATAAATATATGGTTGAACTAACATTAATACACATCACCATTTTATTGATTACATAATAAAACAAATTATCAAATATCCAATTATTAAGTTACATAGCTCAAAAAAGCATATAAAATATTAGATGTCTGCTCAGTTCATTAGTAGAACCCACTTTTTTGCAAGAGAGGTTAGGGAGAGAAGGGAGAAAAATCGTAATTCAAACAAAAAGTTGCAAAACAACTTCCCATAGGTATGGGAAAAAATTTACAAGAATTTCAGAAATTTTGATTAAGAATTGTTTAGCTACAACCATGTATCTCTACCTTTTAAAAATATTTGCTAAATTAAAGGGCATATTCTACATGTTCTGCACAAGACACAGGCAACATTTTACTAAAAATATTTAATATCCCTTCCCATTTGTTTCTCAGGCCCTCCCTGTTAAGCTACACCTCTGAGCACAAACATTAACTCTAAGTCTTTCTGTCTAGAGACATTATTAAAGATATGTTCTTCTGTAACAGTATAGATTTTACAAAATGGAGGTTTCTCATAACAGCACATAGTAAGACACAGACATTAAATAATCACCACAAGATTTGGTTTGAAAAAAATTCAATGGCTAAGCAAACCTGATATGAGTGTGGAAGATGTAAACAGAGTGAGCAGGCGAATAATAAGAGAGGCCCTACAGTGTTTGAAACGACTGAAGGAATAAACCATGGAAGGTATAGATAGAGTGTTCTTAGTTCCTGGGATTTTGGTTTTATATGATACTAAAAACATACAAGTTTTGTGCTGAGTATTTTGGCACCTATTTTTTCTAAATCCCTTATTTACTGATAAGATTCTGGCACAGGAATACATTTAAAGACATAACTTGACACCATAGGATTTTGGGAACCATCAACTGGTACAAATAATAAGCACATTTTAATTGCTGACCTGCAAAAATCTTTTGTTAAGTGTCCAAACAAGCCAATCATAACCCAAACACAGAGGCTGCAATTCTGTCAAGCTTGCGCGGCCAGGTAAAACTGGTTCAATACTCCTGTGGAGTCTTCATTAGACTTATTCAAGCCAACATGTTGGCTAATTATATATGACAAATTGGGTCCCATCTGAAGTTGCACTTCCAAGGCAATGGCATCAGGCACCCCAGTTTATTGAATACAACAGTTGTTTCTATGACTATTGGAATCCTTGAAGTGCAGCTGCATTTTAGGACGGTACTTCTCCAGGTACAAAAGTTGCATGCTGTTAAAAGCCCCACGATGCTTTTGTCTTATGAACTGTACTGCATCTTCATTTCATTTCACCTTCAATTAATGCTAGGGTGACCATCACTGGAGCGCTCCCAAGGCCTGCAGCACAAGGGACAGCAATGCAACAACCAGGTTCTTCACAAAACTTAAATCTTCCCAAGACTTAACCAGTCATCAACAATTTGGTTAGATGCTGGTGCATCATCATCAAAAGGCCAATCAAAAACACGAATGTGTTCTTTCTCCAGAAGAGTAGTGTCATAAGTTGCTTCACTTACTCTTACTATTATGGTAACTCCATATTTCTTAAGTTCCTCTATAAATTTAAGGTTGCATTGTTTGGATTGTGTGTAATAAGGAATCTCATGTTCTTGTATGTGACTTCCACAGGAGCAGGGAGGTTCATTCAAGCCATGTTAATTTAGTTTTTAAAAAAAATGCTCAAGGGACTGGAGAGATGGCTCAGTGATTAAGAGCACTGACTGCTCTTGCAGAGGACCCGGGTTAAATTCCCAGCACCCACATGGCGGCTACGAACTGTCCTTAACTCTAGTTCCAGGGGAATCTGAAGCCCTCTTCTGAGCTCCATGGCGTTGCATGACATGGATGCACTTACATGCATGCAGGCAATACACTCATACACATAAAATAAAAATGATAAATAAAATATTTTTTTAAAAACGCTAATTCTTATGAAAGAACTAAAAAAAACTGATACAGAAATAATGCCAAGAAAAAAAAGACCAAAGTCTACATCAATATTCAAATATACTCCACTTGAAATTCTCAGTGCTTTTGAGTATGAAATTGTGAGAAATGGGAAATAAAATGAACCTCCTAACAAGCAGCAGCTATTCTTCAATTTAGTAATTCTGAGATAAGACAAAGGACATGCACTGAGGTTTACCCCATACAGGTCTGAGCTCTTGTAAAATGCTCTGCAGGTTTCAATTCAACATGTCTGTGTCCGGGTTGTCCACTCTTATGGGGGCTTGTTGGTGGAGTAGTGATGAATTTCTACAGTTCACTTGTCTGCACAGAGGTCGTGCTGTGCCTGGCAGTAATCTCCACTGCCCTTCAGAAACTCCATAAATGTGTGACCAAGACCACCACAGAACTGGTCTCTCTGGAAAGGTGTTCTCTCTCAAAGTTGGTTCCAGAAGAAAGCTCCTCTCTGGTAGCTGGTCTTCATTCTCCAAGTGTGGAGAGTTTTTTTTTTCAATTGTGTGTGTGTGTGTGTGTGTGTGTGTGTGTGTGTGTGTGATAGGTCAGTTCTCTCCTGCTACTACCATGTGGGTTCCAGTGATCTAAACTGGTTGTCAGGTTTGGCAGCAAGCTACTTCACCCACTGAGCCACCTCACTAGCCCTGGGTTTTTGGTTTTGTTTTTAGAGAAAAAAAAATCTGAGAGGAGCTGAAAAAGAACTGGTTGCATGGTCTCAGTGTCAGTGTGCTGCCAACCACAGCAAGTAAGCAAGTTTGCTGCCCTCTGAGGGAAGAATCTTCCAATAGCCACTACTGGTCCCCTTCCCACCCAAAAATACCACTGTCCCAAGGCCTGAGAAGAGAGTAAGGGGCAAAGGACAAGCTAACTAGCTTTATGTAAACACCACTCAAAAAACATGCCTGGGGACTAGGGACATCTTATTCCAGGGCAACTGAAAGCGAACAAAATATCCAAATAATCAGTGGGAAGTACAGACAAAAAAGAATGTAAACAATGGAGAGATGTCTTGCTTTATTGATTTAGTGTGTACTGAGTATTTACTTATGAATATCTAATCCTGCCAAGAAGCAAAAAGAATCCAGGCCTTTAAATTCTTTGAGAGAGAAAAATGTGAATATTTTCTTAGCTTGATAAGCAGCCCGGAATTAGGCAGGCCACTTAGAAAAGTGAGATGTGCTTATAATCCACTGGGAGATCGTAAATTCTCCACTAAAATCATACATCCATGAGATAGTCCTTAATTATGCTCTTAGATAAGATCCACTAAAGTTCATCTACAGAAAAATCATAGCTTAGTTATTTCCCACAAAGAAAACAAACTATAAGGAAATGCACACTGCCTCGTTTCAAGCATTTTCTAAGTGTGCTAATGGTATAGCTTCATATCCAGTATCTCAAAAAAGTAAAAATGAGTATTTTTCATCATCCTGATATATAATTTGCAAAAGTTATGCTACAGTAACTAAATCAGATGCTCAGATGTACCACTGCATGAATAGCGTGTTACCTCATCGACCTTCATGGAATTTCTGTGAGGTGAGTCCTTTTTGGGTGCTGCATAGACTCTGAAGGTGAGCAGGCTCAGGCTGACTGGCCCCACAGATCTCTGAATCACCTGAAATGCAGAAGCAATCTTAAGTCTTCTCTCCATAATATACCAAGTGTGTACAAGGTGAGCATGCCCACAACCTAGCCACTCCCACCCAGAAAACTTATTTACCTTTCTGAGAAGTAAAGGCATTCTTGAACTTCTGAAGACCACAGAAATTCAAACTACACATCAACTGCATCTTAATATCCTAAATATAAGTTTCAATGTTTTCTTACCTGGCCTTTCAAGTGGATTTTTTTTTAAAAAAAAGGATAGCTAAATAGATATCCAAATCCAACTCATCATTTTCCCCTCAGATCTGCCCCTCTTTCTCTACATCCTGTCTTAGGAATGGTAATAGTCTCACAGAAACTCCAAGGTCATTTCAAATTCACTCTCAGAGTATAACATATCAAGGGGCTAGAGAGATGGCTCAGTGGTTGAGAGCACTTGCTGTTCTTGGACAGGACCTGGGTTTGGTTCCAAGTACCCACATGGGGTGGCTCAAAACCACTTGTAACTCCAGTTCCAGGGGATATGGTGCCCTCTTCTGACATCCGAGGGTACTGCATGCACATAGCAAACATACAGACAAGTGACACACACATACACATAAATATTTTTTAAAAGAATGGATCTGGGACTAGGGAGAGGGCTCAGAGATGAATGCTCTTACAGAAGACCCAGGTTTGGTTCCCACCATCCACATGGCAGCAAACAACGCTCCATAACTCCAGTTCCAGGGGATCCAACACCCTCTTCTGTCCTTTGTAGGCAATGTATGTGGTGCACTCACATACCCGCAGGCAAAACACTCATATAGATAAAATTAAAATAAATTAAAAACAACTAAAAGTATATAATAAATTATTAACTACAATACTCTGTTGTGCAATAGATCTTTCCATCTTAGTCCTCCTAACTAGATGTTCATATTCTTTGACTGATAGCTTCCTCAATTCAATTTCCAGCCACTGAGAACCACCATTCTCCTATCTCCTATGAGTTCAATATGTTTAGATTGCTTTTTAGTTACTCTTTTTTAAAATTTGTTTTTATTTTATCTGTATGAATGTTCTGCCTGCATGTATGTAAGTGCACTCATGTTGTGCAATGCCTGCAGAAGCCAGAAGAGGGTGTCAGAGCCCCTGGAACTGGAGTTACAGACAGTTGTTAGCTGCCATGTGGGTGCTGGGAACCAAACCTGGGTCCTCTCAAAGCAGCCAGTGTTCTCAACCACTGAGCCATCTCTCTAGCCCCTCTATTGCATTTTAAAAATGGTAAATGTAAATGTAATGAACAAATTGATTTAGGCACTGCACAATATAGACATTTCAAAACATCATACTTACATGTAATAAATACATGCCCTTTATTTGCCCATTTAAAATTAATAAGAATAAACTCTGAGGTCATCTTCACCACCACCCTTAATCCTTTTGGCCACTAAGCTCTGGTAACTGTTTCTATTAAATGACCTCAGCTCTGATTTCTCTTCTTTATCCCTTCCTGTACAATCTTTCCTTGGGCCCTCATTTCTTCCCCAAATTGTTTTAGCAGCATCCTAGTTGGTCACCTGGCTCTCTATTGATTCAAAACACCCCATGACAAACAATGATCTGTCAAAACTACAACCTTTATTAGAATCTATCCTTACTTGGGACTTTTTTTTTATTCCCTAGGACTTTTATGTGAACCAAAGAAAGTTTGTTATGACCATCCACAACCGCTTTCTCTAATCTCATGTCTGCCACTCTGCCCTGGGCTACAAAACCTGAACTCTCTGCATTTTTCTCATGGTGTTTTCCAGCTGCCTGGGTGTATGTATGTGTATATATACATATACTGATTCCTCTGTGTAAGTGTCCTGTACTTGTTTTGTCTTTCTATAGACCTGCCTAGGAGCAAGGGGGATCCATGCTTTTGCTTTGCTCTTTGATCTGACCATGTATCTACACCTAGCAAGTTCTCTTCTGTCAGACTCGAATCCCTTTCAGAATGAGGTCTGTCTTACTCCCATTTCTACTGCCATGGTTGAGCCTGGCACAAAAGAGATACTCAACAACTGCTCATTCCTTGCCTTTTCCAACGAGGCACAGGAAATAGATGAAAATAGTGATGAATATTATTTTCTCTAGTTAGGCATGATTTAGCACCATGGAAATCTTATTACTAAGATTTGCAGTAACTAAAATGCAGAAGACTAGGCCCTTTTGTAATACAAAACAAATGATGTCAGATAAACTATAACAAAAATGTCTCTTCAACATTTTTGTATGCCTGAAGTGACATACAAAAAAGTTAATTCTTCTATTTCACAAACAAATAAAGAGCTGGAAGCCATTTTGTTGTTGTTTTGAGACAGGGTCTCACTGTGCAGCTCTAAATGCCTAGAACTCACTATGTGGACCAGGCTGACCTCAAATTCACAGAAATCTGGCCTCAAACTCACAGAAATCGACCTGCCTCTGACTCCCAAGTGCTGGGAATACAGGCGTGTGTTATCATACCTAGTTGGAAGTCATTTTCAAAAGGTTGCTTAATTACTTTAACTGGTTTAAAAATAATTACCGCACCCTAAAGTAATTAGTGTTCACATTGAGAGGTCTTAATTTCAAGGCAATACTGCTTCAGGTTTCTTTTACTTCCAAGGTAAGGATAAGCAGCCACTGATGACAGTGGTCACTATGGTTTGTACTATCTCAATTATTCGGCGGGACCAGTTGCCTGATTTAAAAGAAAGAGATCAGTGGTTAAAACCGTCACAGGAATCTGAATGTTTAAATTTACAGTTTAAATTATTCATCCCTTAGCTCTCCCCACCCACCAGATTTTTTACATTTAGTGTGTATGTTTTTGTGTGTGTGTGTGTGTCTGTGTGTGTGTACACTTGCCTTGATTGAACTCAGGTTGAAAGGCTTGGCACCAAACACGTTTAATCTACTGAGACATCTTGCTATCACCCACTCCCCTCCCAGTTCTTTCAAAGAGTCCAGGCCTGGGCCAGGGAGATGGCTCAGCAGGTAAAAGCACTTGCTGCACAATCCTGATGACCTGAATTTAATTCCCAGAATGCATGTAAAAAGCCAGATGCTGATAAGGTGGGTGTGCATCTGCAATCCCAGCACTCCAGAGAGATAGGGAGATGGGAAAGTCCTCTGGAAGCTCACAGGCCAGCTAGCCTACAGCACACAGTACAGCAACAGAAACGAGTTAACCTTCACACACACACACACACACACACACACACACACACAACTAAACAAACAAAAAAACAAAGAGGCCAGGGCAACTGAAGCTTGAGTCACTCAAGAGTTGTCACAGTTCCTACAAACGAATTCCCTCCCTGAGCCCCAGTGAGGGCACAATAGGCTGCTGGTATCTGGAGGTATCACCATTCTCTGCCCTCTGTGCCTCAACTGGGGACTTCCCACTGAGCAGAGCTGACCATATACCAGGACTCTGTTTCTGGTACCCCCACCCTTTCTCTCTTTGCTCCCCCATCTCACACTTGAACTTCTAACATCTTAAGTATCCTGGGTTCACATTGTCCCCACCCCCACCTTCCTCTTTATACTTGTGGCAAATATTGCTTTGGGTTGATTTTTTCTTATTCCCAATTGTTGCTTTCAATCTTTTTTTTTTTTTGAGACAATCTCACTATGTAGTGCTGACTGGCCTTGAACTCATAGAGATCTGCCTGCCTTTGCCTACTGAGTGAAGAATGGCATGTGGTATCATGCCTGGCCCTGTTTTCAATCCTTAATCTGACCTAGTTTTAACGCATTTTATTTGTCTTCTCATAATCTACCTTTGTACTCCTCTCTCTCTCTCTCCCTCTCTCTCTCTCCCTCTCTCTCTCTCTCTCTCTCTCTCTCTCTCTGCGTGTGTGTGTGTGTGTGTGTGTACACGTGTTTTCTAGAGATGGAACCCAGAACTTCATGCATGCCAGGCAAGCACTCTATTACTGAGCTACACCCTCAGCCCCAGCCTTCCTTTTATGTCCTTATTGAACCTTCTGACTTTCATCTTTGATTTTAAAGCTTAACTCAGTCCTTAATATTTTATTAGATTCTTAATTTCTGTTTTATTTTCCTCTTATCTTACTCATTCTTCTAGTTTTAATATTCTAAACCTCTCTCTATTGCTTAAGTTGTTCTCTTCTTTCTCTTCTCCAATTAGTTTTCCTCCCCTGTTCCCCCAACTCCTGTCCCACAGCAAGAACCACAGACAGAGGGTGGAAGCTAGGAAGAAAGCCAGCTCCTTGGGGTGGCCTTTTCAGCTTCAACAGGCTCTCAACAGAGAAAACAAAGGAAAAAAAAACCCTCCCCCCAGGAGACTTGGGAGAGGCACAGATGAACACTCCAAGGAACACTCACTTCAGGCCTCTTGCTGCCATTACTCACATTGCTTTGGGGCTTCTTGGCTCTACTGACATTTGAGCTGGATCATCCTTTGTTGTGGGCTTGTCCTGTGCATCGCAAGAGGTTTGGCACCATCGCTGACCTCTGCCCACTGGATACCAGTAGCAGCCCCTCCCAGTCAGGGCAGTCAAAAATGCATCCAGACACTGCCAAATGCCATCTGAGAGCCGCTGATTTACTTGAACAAACACTAATTTCTGACATTGCTTGCCATCCAGACTTCAAGAAAAATCTGCATGTTTAAATCAAACACATAGTGAAAGAAACTACAACAGTATCTACTGAGGGCAAGGGGTGTGGATGTATTGACATTGATGTACTCACAAGGGAATTTCATGGGGTGAAAGAAACAACCCGTATCTTGATTGGGGTGTGGGCAATACAAAGGTGTACACATTTGTCAAAACTCAATTGTCTATCTAAGATTCTACTACTTGAACTTGTACATGTAAATTTTAGTTTAAAAAAATACATGGGGTAGCCTGGCGTGGTGGCACACACCTTTAATCCCAGCACTCGGGAGGCAGAGGCAGGTATATCTCTGAGATTGAGGCCAGCCTGGTCTACATAGTGAGTTCCAGGCTATCTTCTGGGTCTACA